GAGACCGGCAGGAGATGGTGATGCATCAACATCTCAAGGCGGGCGTGGAGGTGCTGCAAATGCAGATGATGATGAGTTTGATAGGATGTTGGGTGGTGGCGGAGAGGATCATGAAGATGATGAAGGTCAGTTTTGAAATATTTTCTGTTGTCATCTGGGAGCAGAAGTCCATCAGGTGTTTGATGTCTTCAAACAAAAGAGTAGCTAATGATCCTTACTACCCTGATTACCATCAGATTCTGACAGTGGAATTGAAGATCCAACGGCCGCCTTGAAGCATCAAGTGGAGCGTGAAAAGAGGAAACGTGCTCATGAAAATTCTCAAGCAAACACCCGCAAAGTACGAAAGGCTGTTGTTGGCCAACAGCTTCCCAGCCAGTCCGGAGGTTTATCCCGCTCAATCCGGAACTTCATCAAGTTCATGATGGGAATGCCTGCATCACTCAGTGCTTACCCAGCGCCCCCGACTAAGAAGGAATGGGATACTTGGGATAACTGGACTAAGAACCGCTATGATAAGGTGACTGCCCACTTAAAGAGCTTCACTGAGAAGAACAAGGAGGTCGCCAAACCTACTCTCAAAAAAATGTACCGTGACGAAATGGACCGTATACGAAAGCATTTGACTCCACCATCATTCAAACCTTCCGGAGATGTTCTGAATAGTGCAATCAACATCCCCATCCACGTGAAAAAATCTTGCGAACAGGAGATCCAACTTGCAGGATTCGGACGGCTGACGTTTGAGTGGACGGCTCGATCATTCACTGCTTCGCCTTGGAATGGGACGCTTGGAACCATACTTATCAAACACTACTATCAATGGGCCAAGTCGCAAGCAGGGACCTTATGGGATGAAACTTCAAATATGGAGAAAATATTGGATCGTTGGGTTCAGGGTCAGGGAAAATTGATGAAAAAGGGGGACCGCTCAGATGGAAAATCATTGGATGATTTGAAAAGAGAGAAGGCAAGGAAAGCTTCCATCAGCCGAGGAAAAACCAAGGTATGTTTCATTAATCCTTCAGCAGGTTGCATAATCCCATTATATGTTGACATGGTCCCTTTTTGTTCAGATTGCAGAAAAAAGAAGAGATGTTGCAATGAAGAAGATGGGAAACCAACCGTCCTTAGCATTGCTGTTCACCAAGGAAACAATCTCGGATTGGGAGGACCAGCCAGCTCCAGCAAAGGCCAAGCGCATTGCCCTCCAATGGAGAAGTGCAGCTTTCACAATGTGTGCTATCAAACTTGACGAGATGGCTTTGACGATCTGCAAAACCACGGCCGAAAAAGCAGCTACCCGCAAGCTTCTTGAGCGAGATCCAGTTTCAATCCAAGGTGTAGCCGTAGAATTCGACATGGTACCACGGAAGCTTCCCTTAGATGCATACGATCCCACGTTCTTGCTAGGTCTCTCTCCAATCGAGAAGGAGCACCTTGATGCCAAAGAAGCCATTGATTTAGATGCCAAAGTTCAAACTTTGAATGAAATGACTCAACGAGGAGGAACGGGGATGGCTCAAATGGCTCGGCAGAAGTTTGGAGATCCTGGTTTGGGAGGTGTGCCAGGCCCTAGTAGTGGGAGTTGAGTATGTTGTTTTTGGCTAGTTGAATTTATGAATTCGTGTTAAGTGTCTGATTGTTTTCTACTTAGGTGCAAGCGGATTTAGATTGAAAACATTGCAACTGAATGTCATAAAAGAGAACAAACTTACAAAAAAGCGTGGAAGGTCATGAAAACCTTGAAGAGAAAACTCCAAACGACCTTATGTATTAGTATCTTAATCTATTGACTGATCACTCCTTGATGGTGAAGGGGAAGAAAGACATGTGTTCCATAATTTTATTATACCAAAGGATGGAGCAACTTTGAACAATTGAAGTAGTCTCCCACTCACCCACAGATATTTCTGACTTCCCAGTTGGCCGCAAATTAGCTAAGCACGGCGTGCTTAATCTTTTCAGGCTTGGCGCATATAGATGCCTGCAAAAAAAGGTAAGTTTATGTTGCATGTCTTCTTTATGTTTGAATTTTATATTACACATGTGAGTACCTCAATCGAAAGTGGATTGATTATTGAAAAAAACTTGGTGAAAGAAATGCGACTGTCTAGCCTACAAAGAGCTTATATGAATATTGTAACAACACATGCATACACATTGTGGACATTAATTTCCTGGAGAGCTAACTGTTGAGGGTAATCTTGAGAATAAAATTCCTTCATTTTATGGAGCTCGGATCAGTGGCCATGAATAAAGTATCCACTAGAGCATCCATTTCATTCTCAAAGGTTTGTCCTTTTTGATTACTTGTACTGGAGGTTTTTTGGGCCACTTGTAAGACTATGTCATGGTATTATCTATGATAAAAAAGTAGTCCAATCCAAGCAATATTTAGAGAGGCAAGCCTGGTGGGCTTGATTCTCAAGCAACAACATTTCTCACCATACAAGATCGCCTTGTAAGAACAGAGCATCAGGTTTCTCTCAACCTGGAAACCCATCCCAAGATCAGAATAACTCACAATTCACATATGGACAAGCTGAATTATCATCCAAGTTTACCACCTGCGGGTTCCAAATTTGTTGGAGGTGGAAAACCACTATATCCATCTCGGAAAACTTCTCCCCACATCCATGCATATCCATGGAAGCTGAATCTTGACATATGAAATTTTCATACCAATAACTGTCAATCTACTGAAAAATGGGGAGTTGAAGAAGAGGGTTGACAAGTAGGTGGTATAAGTGAGATTTGATAACGGATAAAAATCAAGTTGGAATTCCGTGGGTAAAGCACACTGTTGTTATGGATTAAGCACGCCGTGCTTAATGTCTGTTGAAGCAACCCAAAGGTTACGACATCAATCCATTGAGGGAACAAGCAACAAGGAGGTGTCAGAATTACCATGCTTGCGATTTGGTAAACAGAGCCCATGTATTGACAATTAAGTATATTTCATGCTTACAGTCCCTGTACTGAGGTTGGTTTCCACTCCAGAAACCTATTTCTTGGTAGCCAAGCTTCCCATTGAGGGGGTGCTAGATGCAGTCGTAGGTGCCCAGCTTGCTATGCGAATCGGATCTACAAGTTACCATGTCAGTGATAAGGAAAAATCCCTTTGGTCAGACAAAGTGTTTACCTCTTCCAAGTCGGACCCTGCAAATATTCCAAATCACCAACGCGTCAGGGACCAAGGAGTCAAGGACATGTCTTTTGGCGCAATAACTGGCAATTTGTTCTTGGATCTGTTTGATTTGAACGGCATTAGCCAGATCGATGGCCCGACGGTCTTTCGTAGGATTGTCTTCCACAGTTTCTTCTTCCATTTGGGAGACCACAGTCTCAATATTCTTAATAGTCTCTTTGAAGTAGTTGATCAAGTCTGGAGAGCTGTACAAGTAAGATATGCTAGTCATTCTTGATAACTTGGGAGAACAAGATGTACTGTTGGAGGTTTTTTTGGGGGTGATGGCCAGTCAAGTTGGAATCTTCAGAGTCCATTCATCTTAAAGAATATTATTTGTAATTTGAAACGGTCACACTCAAAGCAGACATCCCTGTGGATCAGTACGGGAAAGGGCCCTACCCCTTAACGTAAATGGGTTGATCTGCATTTTGACGACTTGAATGGTGTAATATCAGACTGTACCAAGCAACTCAGCTTGACTTAATCAACTTACGAGATATTCATGTGGAATTTTATTGCGTTAGAATTTCTGTGGCTGCAGACAAATTGAACAACACAGATTACTTGGAATCAGATAAGGGAGTAGGAGCTGAAGACGGGGTGTGACTTGAATGACTTTGACCCAGGGCAAATTTTGAAACTAAGCACAGGTGAATTTGGCCTTGAACATGTTATTTCCTTATGCCCACAACACCTTCTGGGATCTTATATCCGCTCTATAAATTTCATATGTTGTGTCAGCCACCAAGAATTTTGGTAGTCATGGACGTAACAAACAAAGGTAAGTGCAAATCAGGCATTTGTATCAAGCTCAATGGGAGTCCTATATGCACATGCATGTAGGATTTTTATACGGCTGGGGTGAGCAACTACATCACAGGCCAAAGGCTGCATAAATAATGTTGCAAGTATGACATTTGCCAGAAGTGTGGATCCGAACCGTGAGGAAGATGGCATTTGATTCTGGGAGATTGCGGTTGGTCCTGCTTAGAAGATAAATCATGCAATTGAAGCAGGACGTGCATGACTGTGAAGAATACTCCTTGTGTTAATTTGTACAAGGTAATTCCGAAATCTGTTTGAGGATCTACAACACTGATTTGCTATCCATAAAAAGACAGTCACACGCCCCAGTGAGCAAGAGCCCTATTTGATTCTTATCCAAGGTGTATCCACCCCGTAAGTCACCATGGAAAAAGGATACAACAAGGATACAACACAGATACAATGGCATTGAGCCACCAGTCCGCCCCCCTTAAAGTGCATGTAACCGTTGGCTAAACTTCAATGCCCAACCCACTTTGACACAATTTAGGCATTGTCAGCAGTGTTGGCCAAGTACTCCAATAGAGTTCCTCTTGCAGATTTGGGGTGTAAGATGCTGACCATCCAAGAGATATGACCAATTTTCTGTTGGTCAGAAATCACATGCATTCTGTAAGTTGATGAATCATCAATAACAACAAGTCATGCTTATCAGCCAAATATGACCTCATTAAATACACTTCTGAGCAGGAATTAATGCGGTGTACCTCATGAATGACTAACTGCAGGGTTGGGGGTCAAAACAATCAACTCATGCAGTTAGTTCAATCGCTTCTCATCAGATGGCTTTGTGCACCGACACAATTTCTCTGAGAGGAGGATTGCTGGTTTGCCAGCAAATTATCCCTATCCATTGGAACCTCTTGTTATTACCACAAATAAAAAATCTTATAAGAGTCCCACCAGCCCATCCTGAAACTCCTCTCTTTCATAGTCCCCATTCATCAAAACCTCCTACTAGCATAATCCCACCAGTTTTAGCATGTCACAATCGCCAAAAAGTCACCGTAAATATACCGCTAAAGAGTTAGAAATAGAAGAACATTACGAATGGCTTCACGAAACTCATGCGGATATGGTAAAAGTTGTTCAGATGTGGGAGCCCTTAGTATACAGAGATACAGATACTTTAGTTTGTAGTATAATCACTCCGTCCAGTAAATATTTCCGCCCCATGATCGACTGTACTCATTGGTTTGCGGCAAAGGATATTCAACTCAAGGCGGATGGCGAGGCGGCTGACTTAGGCATTCCTCAATGCGAAGTGCCCAACATCATGGAAATTTGGGCTCAAAGAAGGGCGGAATTGGCCAGAGGCAAGTCTATCCACCTGCATTAATGAATTCCTCATATCATATCTAACTGTCCCCAGATATATAGATCCCGTTGCCAAACCATGGAATGCCTCTCCTTCACCTTGTGCCACTCCAGTCAGAGCTACCGCGGAAACTGGTGATGAGGCCACTGGAACCCCACAACCTGATGCCACGGGTTCCCAGAAGGTGAGCTTTCTTCAACAGGAGCTATATTTTTTTTTTGACGAAGTACTCATACTATCATGATTTCTTGCTGCATTAGGCCCAAATAAATATTGACTAGTCGTTGGATCCGCTTTCCAGGCCTATCAGTTCCCCCTTGATAGATACTCTCCCTGTTGATACGATAAATCCAGATCTGACTTTTCAAACCACAAAGCAATGATGATTTATTTCTGCAAGAGCTCCTGTGCCCATTTTGATCTCCTGCGACAAACCGTATATCTAAGGCCTTTGTGAAGAAGCACGGCGTGCTTAAGCAGACGCAGATGTTTGTTTTTTTACTCCTTCCCTTTTTAACTGAAGGGTTTGTATACCTAACCAAATGGTAAGGTTGTTAACCTTGCCGATCTATTTACAATTCATGGAAATAGTAAGAGAAAATCTATCCCCACTGCAATCCCCTGTTTTTTATAGGCTGAAATCAGATCAATGTTCAGACGCATACATTATCTATTATTTATTTTGTTTGACCGCTTCAACCTTAAGCCTGACCATAATATACAGGCTAATCCACACGGAACCTCAGCGCAGCAGGTAGCCGACACCAATCCCAGATTCAATGAAATCAGCAAAGTATATTTTTGAGGCAGATTGGATGAAATCAGCAAAGCTAATATTTTGAGATGTGGTCATCTAGCCCAAGGCAAGGTAGTTCGTTCATCAACATGATTTATCAACTCACCCAAACATCTCTCTAGCTACAATTTTTAAGCTTAATGTACAAACAAACAGTCATCATGTTGTAAGGGATCCCACAAAGGTAGACCATGCTTACTGCATTGAAAGGTCATCAGTGCATTAGGCCTTTCTTGATGATCTACCCCATTTGAAATTCTATTCCCCTTTGTTCGTTCCAGACCCCCCATCTCTTTCTTATAAGAGATGACCTGGGAGGGATGTTCGCCTCTTCCCCCCACTCACTAATTCCCATTTTTCGACCTATCAACCACATCATTATTTCTTTACTCAACTTTCCTGCAGTTGTCCCTTTATACTCCTACAAAAAGCTTTCTCGTAATCATGGAAGATTCCACTCAAAATACAACCACCAAAACCCCAACCTCAACAATAAAAGCCGTATCAGTAGGAAATACTGCTGCCACCCCTCCGCCTGGTAAGCCATCTCTTGAAATATTTGTCTTCTAGCCTTGCATTGACATGCTTTCTGGCCTTCTCAATTTAATTAAAGACCCCGATACCTACAAAATGTCGTTTCCAGCAGACCATCAGTCAAGGAAACCTCCTTCCAACTCACAATCTTTACCCTTGGAGCCCGAAGTTGAACCAACCGATCCAATCCTTCAATCAGAAGTGCAAGAGATAACTGAGGAGGAGTTCCTCACCAACCTCTCTAAAGTCCAAAGTTTGGCATTGACTTGCTCACAATTACGCCTCCCAAAATCTATCAGGAGAGATGTCGACGGAATGGTTCAGCGTCTCAAAGTTATCAGCAAAGGTATTGTAGTCTCTAAGATATTAATCATTTCCATTGCTGAGTCTTACTCCAATTCTAGATTACGAAGAAAACAAGTCCCTTGCCCTCCACGAGTGTCTCACCGTGAAAATTGGATCTGAACCTACCATCAACCGCTCTTCGACTTCCGCTGCCCCCCCAAAGAGAAAAGGCAAGAAGAAAGCAAAACATCCGCCTGTCTCCATCACTTCTCATATTTCAACCTCCAAAAGCCGATCAAATGAAGATTCGGCCCCCTCAAGACCACCAGACGACAAACTTGACCAAGATGAAGAGCCAGGTTTAAGTACAAATGTGCGTACATCCCTTCTGATCACCATTCACTAACTTACCCTGCCCCACCTAAGTTGCTGATCATTCTGTTCAAAATTTGTAGGATACATACAATGAATCATCGTCCCATGTTGGCCGTTCACCCAGTGAGTCACCCACTGCGGCAAGATCCAAGCGATCCACGGCTCAACAGTCAACCACGTATGCGGCTCCTTCCAATACTCAAAACATTTGACTACCCCGCGATACGCCAACCACCCAGTCAGAAGATTCAGGAAGCCTCCCTCACCAGCACCAGTCAAATCCCACCAACGAGACTCCCACGAAACGTGCCAGATCTTCCTCATTGTCTTCTTTGTCATCTTTAGACGAAGGCAATGATGAAGATGATGATAGTACTGAAGCAAACGGCAAGGACGATGGAACGAATCCAGATCTCAAGAATTCAAACACCTCAACCAATCAAGTTCAACAAGAACCTACCCTTCCTTCTAGCGATTCACCCAACCTCAACGCCGACGACTTCTCAATTGTTCTCAATGAAAGTTTCCGTAAAACCCTTCACGACACTACATTAGAGCTTCAAAAGGGTCGAGTGACTAAAAGCAAGTGGCAAACAGGATGGAACTCCATTGAATACTTACTGGGATTTCGCCTCAACACATTCACTTTAACAAAAACCCCAACAGCGACGTTTGTTTACAACAAAGCGGAGTTCAACTACGAAAAATGGATTAAAGAAATTGTGGATTCAAGTAAGTTTGGTGATTGCTTCATGTAGTGAAATTTTGGGAAAACTAACATATATTGTTCAATCAAGGCGAATCCTTCCTGGGATATTCACCTCTGGAGCCATGGTGCTGTGCTGATGTCCTCAACTTTCACCTACTCAAAAAGCAACTTGATTCCCCCAACCCTATAATCCCCTACAACTCAAAATCCTCACACCCTGAGTCCAACCTATTCCGTGCGCTTTTTTCCCTGGTCAAGCTTCCTTCTACCCGAATACTACGTGAATGGGCCAAGACAGTCGCCCTTTCAATACAAACAATCTCCGACAAAAATCCCAAAGCTCCTCAAGTCCAATCCGAACCTAAATCTATCAGACGACACATGGTGGTATTAACATGGCTCAATACTTTGAAGAACACCATGCCAAACCTTCTTCAAATAACCAAGGGCGAGCCAGAAACCTCTGTAAATGCTCAATTGGTCCCAACTTCCTCCGATACACCAACCACCGATTCCCTTGATGAACTCCGGAAAATCATAATCGACATGATTATGTCTTATACTATCTTCCAAGCCCATTCTCAAGACCAGTCCAATCCTCGTAAAAAAAGAAAAAAAATAACTCACAATCTCAAGCCGTTGTTTTGGACGATGCGGCCGATCGTACATCTCTTTCCAAAATTGAAAGTCACCATAACCACTTCCCCTTCATCTGCTTTCTCCTCTCTGGTGTTCGTGGAATATTCAACGCTACTCGAGATTACCGAAGATTTACAATCAGTGATTCTATTGAAGTCTTACACTTGTTTGAATGTATCCATTCTAGATCTCAAAGCGAATCCTCAGCTCACGAAGGTATATGGGTCAATTTGGGAACTTACATTCGCGAGATAATCTCATCTGTTCATGAAAACCAGGAAGATGTTAGCAAATTTATTATTCCTACAAGACATAAGTTGGCTAGATGTGTTGCGCATGATTATATTAATTACACCACCAAAGAATCTCATTCATTTAACGTTCCACAAACCCCTTCTCTTCAGTAGTATATTTTTTATGCTGAATAAATTTCTGTTATGTGCGTGTCTTGCTATTCTCCATTCAAATTGTAGTGTTCTACATGAAATTGTATATTTCAATTTTCTATGAATTCCCATTAGCACGGCGTGCTTAGTTCCAGTCTGTCAGTTTGCTCTGGCCCAATTGGGTTTTACCTTGATTCCCTCTGAAATTGACTTACAACAATTTAATGGAAATTTATGCAGTCTGGAATAAATAGGTATGGTCATAACCCCACTCTTCTCGTACACCAACTGCTTAAGACTGGAGGTCTCAGCAAAGACAAAGATATTCACTCCTACCAGGTTTGCAAATAATTCTCACAAGTGCTCCGATATTTTGTATTTTATATGTGATCACACATATCCTTGCAGGTGGATTAATCACAAAATATGAATGTATGAAAACAAACATTAATTATGTCGCATCTTTATACATAATTCCTGACCCCTTTACAATTACCCTTACTTGAAGATCTTGCAAATCATACTACTGGGAATTTTATTATCTTATATGTCTCTATTTAGAATAATCATTTTCCTCCCCACCTTATATTTTGACATCCATTCTAATTCTCCTCCTCCCCCTGCACCCCAAAATTTGTGTTATCTGTTCACTGTATGTCATATGAAAGACACCTTGAATTATTATAAATTTGTTCAATACGCTCTATCTATCAAGTTCCCCCCACCAAGTTAGATTCTTAAGCACGCCGTGCTTAATGATCCCTACCATTTGCATTGAGACCACCGTCCTCAACAATCTGCAACCTTGGCATTAAGAACACCGTGCTTAATGAGCGCCAACATTTGTATTAAGCCCACCGTGCTTAATGATTCCAATTTCCCACCATTTGGATTTTATTATGATCACACTTTCTTCATTTGATATCTACACTCTATCCATCAAGTTCCCCCCACCGAGTTAGATTCTTAAGCATGCCGTGCTTAATGATCCCTACCATTTGCATTGAGACCACCGTTCTTAACAATCCGCAACCTTGGCATTAAGAACACCGTGCTTAATGAGCCCCAACATTTGTATTAAGCCCGCTGTGCTTAATGATTCCCACCATTTGGAATTTCTTATGATCACACTTTCTTCATTCAATATCTCACCTGGTTGAATTCTGCCATTTTTTGCATTGTCTGCATAATTTTTTTCATCAGTATTAAAATTTTTAAGTTTTTACCGGTAGGAAGTTGAATTCAGAGGAAGGTGGTGTGGCATAGCTGGTTACAGTTTCCATGGTCCAGGAAAATTTTGATCCATTCAAAGTTTCAAATTTTTTAACTCTCACAGCACCCTATTCAGCAATGGAAACCATAAGCTTAACCACCTCATGAGTTTAATCAATATTTACTGTGTAATGCTCCCTTTTTGACATTTTCTATGCCACTTGTATCTTTCTTGTCTCCCCCTTTTAAAAATTTCAAAATAAACAATGAATTCATAACTTGTTTGTTGTTTTCATGCAACATTCTAGTAGATCATCTTTACTGGTACTTTGTGTGGTTGAATTTGTCACTTTCTTCCTCTTTACATGGACACCTTGCCCACACACTCTGTGGATGCACATACTACAAAGTAAACATGAATCACAATTTCCCTTTAACTTATCAATTTAGGTATTCAATACTGCAAGATCCTCCTCTCATTAATTTTAGTTAAACCAGAATCATGCTATTCTGGGATACAGATCTTTCTGATCAATCCATTTATTCACATCTGGAAATTTAATGCTGCTATATTATTGCCTAAAAAACCAATTTGATGTTGATAAGAGGTTCATTTCCTGAAACATACAACTGATAAGGTCTGCTGAGTATTAAATTAATATGTCTTATGTGAAAGGCTGTTTTTGACAACCTGTGTTATTTTCATTCAATTGCATCTCATTGTTCAACTAAACTTTCATCTTCAGAGTTGGTCATAGTTTTTGATATTTGTGAAGAGTTGGTCTCCTTGGTGGTCAAGCTGACAGCAAATAGCACTTCTCCAAACTTGATTTCCCCTAGTTGCTGCTTATTGGCTCGGGTTATTTTGCTGCAGAACATGTGGGGGGGTTATTGCGCAACTCAACATGGCCTCTTACGTAATCGAACACGTCACCAGCCCAAACGTTCGTCCGGTTCGGACACACACCCATCGATTTCAAGTTTGCTCCTCCCACCTGCACACTATCAGATCTACTCCGCTGCCAACAACCAAGAAGATCAGAACTGTAAGTTTCATTTGTTCTTTCATTTGATCGTTTCTCAATTCTTCAAAGACTGGGCTTGAATCCAACTAACCGATGCACATCCCCTGTCTCCTTTAGATCGCTCCCTCGTAAGTCGTTCCTACCAAACAGCTCTTCATCTCTCTGCCCCATCTTCCTTCAGTTACACCAATCAAACAAGCAGTCGTTCACACCACACACTCCTCAACTAACGCTGTCTCTTGATCGTTCGTTATATGTTCAGGTATCACAGGATCGATCGGACAATATCACCTTCTATCGTAGGCCGTTACGTTTGCGTAACACAATCTCTGCTCTTCTAAGGTGTTCAATTCAGGACAACAATTGAAGCAATCATCCAGCATATTAATCGCTTCATCGATATACCGAGAGTACCGTTAAGCCTTCCCTTCTAAAGGTATGCCATACTTGCCATTATACATATCACACCAGACCAAAATTGAAACTAATTTGGATCTATACCTATCGTCTCGTCTCCTTTTTGAATGTTAACGTCTATCCTTATTTCTAGATCGCTCTATCAATTTACTCTTTGATCGGTCAAACCATTTTGACTATCCAAGCATCTGAACGATCCTGCTTCCCTTAAGGTAGGTCTTCCTGGTGCCAGGAGTCACATACCTAATACTGATTCATACTGTTATATTAATATTTCTTGTTTCAGAACATCAATCAACGTTGCTTTCATCACAGAAAATCTGTTCTTGCAGATTTTGGTCTTGGTGAGGTTACTACATGTTGGCATCTGCTCACGGAGATAACACAATTTTTCTTTCCACTCTTTGCTAACCTGGATTCTTATTCACTTTGTTCTACCACAGTCACTCATCAAGGGTCTATTACACCATCATCCGTTGTAGCCATGACCCGTACCAAACGAAAACACCTACTGCGTGCTCTCAAGCGTGATGGCCCCCTGCCCCTGGGTGGCCCTGATCGATTAACTATGGGTAACTCCATCAATCGTCAGGGTCATAAGGGGGCTTGTGCGGTCGTCCAACCAGCCCTTAAGACAGTGACTTGCATCGATGGACGATCTGAGAGCCCCCTGTCTCTGGGTAGCACTGATTTGCTTGCAAGGCGTAAAGCCAACAACCATCAGGGTTATAAGGAGGCTTGTGTGGTTTCTCTTCCAATCAACAAAGATGCAAGCTTGCCTGCTACCGGCCCCCTACCTACAAGCAGCCCGGACATCCTCGAAAAGTGTCAGGACAACAAACCTCAGCTCCACCAAAAAAGACGTGCAGTGTCTTCTTCTACGGCACGAGCAATGTCCCACAGAGTCCACAAACCTTGAAATCCTCCACCGCAATATGCATCTGCTACTGCAAAGAAGATTGCGAGGGCATACAGGAAGCTTAAACCCTCAGACGATAGTTATTTCATCATCTGTTCTCCCTCCAAAGCTCGTGTTTCCCGAAAGCCCATCATAAATTTACCCGTCCTCAATAAACCGCCTCGTCAAATAGTTTTGTCCTCTTCCTTAGCTCCTCACTTCATTTTTGAAACCCACTCTTTCGATGTTAACCCGCCCACGCCAACCTTTGCAAAACTTTGTGAAGTCATTGAAACTCTTCATGCTATGGCTAAATATCGTCCCTGTAATAAAAGAAACGCCAACCGACTCAATGGTGAGATGCACCTGATTGGATTCCGACCTGGAAATGATAGGGGTAAATCTGCCGGTATGTATCTTCCCTTTTTCATTCCTTTCCATTATGTGAGGATTTGATTATTGATCATTTGGTTCCACAGGAACTTATGCCCAAAGAACAGATCTCACACCTGCCCAATCAGCTCACGATGATACTCTTTGGGCAAAACTTCAATCATTCAACAAATTCCTTTCTCAACGGATGGAAGCCATTTCCCAAAGTGCCTACCAACAAAACAAGGAGTTGATGAATAAACGTGGCATCCCTAACTGGTCTCAGGAGGAATGGGCGGAAATGCGTAAGGAGGATCAAGTCGAATTCCAGTTTGCCTCGAACGTTTCTGTCACCTACAACGATTTTTACAACAAGCCGCATCAAGACAAAAAGGACATCAACGGATGGACGTATGGTATTTTTGCTTATGTTGACCTTGAAACAGGCAAACCTATCCCTCCCCCTTCTACAGAATTGGGTCATGGCTTCTTATTTCCTCGCCATGCTTACCTGATAGACTTTGTTAAGTCTAGTGGCATCATGGAGCTTGTTTGGCAAACTACCAAATTTGAACACTGCACCACCATGCCTCCTCCATCCCTACGAAACCAAAAGGGACGCACCTGGACACACCAGGGATTTTCTTTTCAAATTAACAAATACCTTGCTAAAGTTGCTCAGGAATTAAGAGATGCTTCTCCACAACTTGTAGAAAAAAAAACCTTATGCAAGAAACAAAAATACGGTGCTTAATTATCATTCTTTCTTGTTTTTCTTTGAATGTTTTCTCTCAAAATTCTTTTCTTCAATGTTCCAAATGGAGTGATTTGAAATATTGCCTTGGTGAATTTGATTGGCCCAACAAGTTTTACTTCCCTGCCATGTGGAAGGCACCTAAGTCATTTTTTCATAGGCCCTAAAATCTCCATTCATCTGTTGTGGTGTGCTTATTCATTTGATGTTCACACAATCTTCTATTTTCTTCACATGACAAATTTCAATTCATTTTTGTTCAATGTTTGTCATAACTACATCATACAGCTATTATGTGAGCTGAAATCTTTTTCTTACAGCAGGTTTTGTCCTACTTTGGTATTCTGATTCAAATCATCCATGTTGGTATACTTGTCCAATCCACCTGTTCCTAGTGACCTGATCTTCTTCATTCAATTAAAACTTCATTCATTTCATCATTTAATTCTTCTCAACTCAGCAAGGAGATTTCTTTTTTTTCAAAAAAGATTTCACGACAAGGGTATATTGTCCTGAGACCTGAATCAACGATGAAACTGATGCGATGCATGCATAGGTATCGCATCGTATCGGGCCTTTATCGCATCGCATCGCAAGAGCGATGCGGGGCCCCGCATCGCATCGCTTGCATCGCATTCTTCGATACAGTGTATCAGTATCGCATCGGCAAAGCGATGCGATGCGATGCACCATAATTTGGTGGCATCGGTTTGCATCGCTTTCCGATACGATGCTGATGCAATGCATCGCTTTTTCAATGCAATGCATCGCTTTTTTGATGCAATGCATCGCTTTTTCGATGCGATACCGATACATGGCTATTTATCGCATCGCATCGCATCGTTTCACCGTTGCCTGAATTCCATTGCAATATCAAAACCTATCAGCCTTCTCATTAAGTGTTAGGGAAATGTGTCAATGTCCCTTTCCAACACTGGAATCTGGCTGTACATCTTTTGATGGGTAGGCTTCCTCTTTGAGTGACTGAGGATAACAAGCTTGGTGTAAAAATTGAGTCAAGGTTTATAGCTCACTGAAGGGAGCTTGAGGAGTGGCAATCAAGACAAGTTTCAAACCTCCAAAGAAGGGTTTGGCAATCATGTGTCAAGGTTGTTGGATTTTACTTCCCATTGACAGATTGGACAACTATTTTCAAGAGGACATGTATGCCAGCTGAATAACCCCTATGACAATTTGTCATAGAGGTGTTTATACCTGTGACAAACTGTCATGAGGACCATTATTTGAGAGGAGATGGCCAGTTCTTCAACTGGTCATTGACCAGTCTTAATGACTTGTTGTGCCAGTTCATCCTGCACTTGGGGTCATGGAGTTGAAATGGTGGTACCACTGAGTCATTGAAGCTGGTTAAAAATCTATCAAGCTTAGTTTGGTCTGAGGAGGGTGTGGGTTGGAACCCATTTGTTACTAATGGTATACCCCATTTGCAACAAGTATCTGAGGCTTATGAGTGCTTTTTGGGGTTGTGTGCAGGCTTTTATTGGTGGACTAGGTGCCAAGTGATTTTAGACATACACATTTACTAACTCAACATCCATGGAGATTTTCAAACATTGTGCCAATGAAATTTCCAAGCTACAATAAGCTTTCCTCTGTGTTCTACTAGAGTTCCTCCCTCAAGTGATGTTTTTTCTTCCATTTTTATCATTTCTCTTCATCCTTCAAGGACAAAATAAATTAAATCTTACCAGGATGTATCATGTTTTTTTGGACCATTCAAAAAGGTCAGGTTCAAAAGCCTACTTTAACTTGACCATCAATTTGAAATCATTGCTTTTGTTAGCCCATAATCATTTGATTTTAGTTGATGCCTATCCCCAAGACTATGAAGTGTATTCTTGAACAGAAATATTAATAATAAAATTCAAGTAAGTTGATAAATCTTCAAATTGATATGTGGAGGGCAGTGCCTTTTTATTCATTGATATCCTGTTTATAGCAGCCAAGGTGTGCACTGTGATCAAGATTACAAATCTGCACACACATATAATATCATGGGGACAAACATTGGTTTAGTGGACTTTGCTAAGGGGCAACCTTTTTTAACACCATTCCTCCACAATTTCAAGTGTGGTGCCAAGGTTTTCTTGGCCTTGACTTGCTGAAAAAATCATCTGCCTACACAATGGAAAAAAGCAAGTAAAAAATTGAATAGAGAGAAATAAGATCACACATTAATAAATCTTTAAAGATTATTGCCAGTTTAGCATCAGAAATCACAAAGAGAGAAATTGAAAGAGATTTATTCTGTGAAGTGTTAAGTTTACAGCTGAGTATTGAGTGTCCTGAGACTTTGAATCCTGAATTTCATTTTCATAACACCACATCTCCTACATATATCTATCAGGCTTTTCTTGATTTTCCAACTTTCCCCAACTGAAAAAATCCTTTACACTAAAGATGGCCCCTCAAACTGTTCACTCAGGGGTTTGATTTAAACCTACAGGTTCATGGATATTTACTTCTATAACACTCCAGTGGAAGAGGTAAAAATTCAACATTCTCTACAGAGCACATTTGTGTAAAATTGATGCTGCACTTGTACAGATCACACTGCAGTGACATAAGCACATTTTTCATCACCTTTTGCTTATATTACACAAACTTCTGCCTTCAAAAGTGTGTGTAATATCTGATATTTGTTGAAAGGTACCTCTTAGGGCATTGCAGGGATCTAGCTCTGAACAAAAAAGTGGTGGTGCTGAACACTCCCATTTTTTCCCTCTACTAACTGCCATGTATTGCTGTTTTGCATTTATTTAGGTGAGTGTAGTGTCAAAACATTTGAAACAAACACTTCCAACAAAAACAAAAGAGGCAAGGCACTAAGTCAGTGTTTTCAGCTGCTCCAGATTAGTGTCATTTGAAGATGAAGTTCATTGCCAATACTCATTGTAGCAGTAGCAGAACTGCTTGGCAAACTGTTTCCTCCATCAAAAAAGCAAGGATAAGTTCTGTATTAAAAAAACTCCCTGATGGATGTGTTCCTGGTTAATTTTAATCTAGAACTGTGAGCTGAAGAGGAATTATTGAGTTGGTGTTTTGCCTCACAAAACTTGCCAAAAAACCTTATGACATGTATTACTGACAAACCAGGAGAATCATTCAGTGCAAAAAGAAATACTTGTCTTAGTACAAATTTTCTGTACAAATTCTAACAACACCAGCAATTTTTGAGGATTTGTATTTGAATTGTTGAAAAATCCCACCTTGACCATCTTCAAGTGTATCAGCTTTCTGATATGGGAGTTGAAGGGATAACTTCAAATCACAGAGAAAGCAGAAACTTTGAATGCACATACTCTTTCATAGATCTTTTTTCAAATCAAAAATTCACTATATATAACCTTGTTTGACCTGGAACTTTGAGTAGGAGCACCCTAATGTAGGCAAAATCCCTCCTTTTTTGTATCATAAACTTAAAATCTGATTTTTCAACTGGAAGGGATGCCATCAGAAAAGTTGATTGTTCTAATTGACTCCTGAGAGTCTATCCAGGCTCTATTTAAACCTTTCAAATTCAAGGAATCTAGAAGATACCATATTTTAAAGTCTCCTGGTCCCTACTTTCAGATAAATAAAAATTTTCTTGTCCTCTATTACATGAGTAGAAAATACTTCAAGGGTGTCATTTTTAATACTCCTAAAACTGTGTACACTTTCTCCCCCACTATATTTACATTTCTTTGTGTTCAAAGCCCCCCAATCCATTTACTTGGTCATCTAAGGATCATACATGCCTGCTAATTATTTTGGACCATGAGCTGACCTGACTACTTTGAAGCCCCCCCCCCCCCCTCAAAAGTGTTCCCATGTTCCAAATACCAATTTATCCCAGCCCTTCTCAATATTGGATGTATTTAACAAGCTAGTGATTGTTCTTGAGAGTTATTCAAGTGTGGATATTTTTAGTAGGAAGTTCAAGTGGCACCACAGATGAGTAGTTTTTTGATGCTATTTTTATGCTTCTTCTTGCATATACAGTGAAGGCTTTTTCTGATAGATTAATGTAATTTTTGGTGGTGATTACCCCTCAAATGAAATCTGACATAAGGTTCAACATGGAATACTATGTCTAAGCTCTTTCCCAACAGTTATATTATTGAAAGAAAGAAATTTACTTCAGATGGTACCAGCTCAAATAACCTTGTATTTTAAAGAAGACATTAAATCTACTGAAAATTACTCAATTAAGCTGTCTTCTTGAAAAATTTGAAAAATTGGCTCCTGTCAATCACATCTTCTGGGTGTCTTTAGATTAAATCAAGATTTATCTTCAAGTTTGTCACAATCTTCACTCAACTTCAAAAACACCAATATCACACACTACTGACAGGCTCATGTTTCAGTTTTTCAACTTCCATATAATAATCCATCATGAAAAGTCCATTTGCTCTGCAGTTGAGGTCATTTTTTGTGTTTTAATGTTGTTAATTTTTAATCCAATTACATCACTCCTTTCAGAGAGTTCAAGGCCATAGTCATTTCACTTTCATTCACAGTACTAAAACTTGATATCAGGAGCCATATGGTTCATTTAGCCCTCACCCCCATCAATTTGTTTATGATCAAAAATTTTAATAAAAAATATATTATTCATATGAAAATAAATCTCAAATTAATCAGGGTCACAGAATATTTAATCTTTCTTGACCTGCACTGTTTTTTGAATGAATATCACAATAAAACAAAGTTGTGTGATCCGAAAACAAAGCAATTCTGTGATTTTTTTTCCTTGCACTGGGGGTTCTTTGAAGGATTATTTCCCATGGATTTAGCTTGCAATTCAAAAAGATACACATGAGTTCAATTGAATAACTAATGCAGTAAAAAAATGTGATACACCTATATCTGGTATTCAACTCAGCAGTCTCCATGATCCAACAAACTTGTTGAAAACAATGAATGAAAATGAGATAAAAATTGGAGCCTCCAGATATTTCTGAATCAATCTGTTTCCAATAAAATTGATACATTTA